CCTGCAGTGCCATTACCAATTCCTCCGAGTCGCAGGAATGGACAGGGATTTACTACCCCAAAACTAATCCCCTGTGTAGGACTTATTCCCTTCTCAAACTGGAAACCCAAGTCCCTCTCCTCCCTCTTTTGCAGAGCTGGAGTGGAAATAGCATTCATGTGTCTGGATGCAGGGGCGCACTGAGGTGGGGCAGCACCCCTGAGCAGCAGGAGGTCCATGTCAACCTCCTCCTACCTTCCCAGGTCCTTGCTCCCAGGCACCAGCTGGGCAATATCCTAAGGCACTACTTGAGAAGGATGGACAACGGTGGATACCTGGTGAAGAACTCACCCAGATCACAGTATTCACATAGTATTAAAGGTGCTACTAAAACATATGCAGAGACCATAGTAAAGATCAGGGGCAAAAGAAATAAGGTCAGGTAGTCAAATATCAGAATTTAGTAACGTCTCTAAAGGTGGAATGGAGATTTGAAGTGGCCTTTTAAAAACCTTTCGGGTGAATCATAATTTGGGATTATGCCTAGAGAAGGTGGTAAAACACAAAAGTGATTTTTTTACTCTAACCTCCATTTGAAATGAAATTGGCCCTAGCTTTAGAGGGAACAAGAAAATGTTTGGGATTGCAGCGCATACTAACTCTACAGTGGAACTGGGCCTGAAAAATCTGGCTTTATTCTAAACTCTGAGGGTAATATGCCTCTGCCCTTTAGTTAGATTCTGTGCAAATTGTGAAATATAATTTTATTATTTTGCCAAGATTAAAAAACACTTTTACAAAAAAAAAATATATACTGCCTAGAGTAATGCAAAAAAAAAATTGAGCATTTTTAACTCTCCAAAAAGCAAAAATCTTTTTAAAATGAAATCTTAAGAGGAATTACAAGGTGAGGAATAATAAAAATAATAATGTATTTGTACCCTAGAAAATAGAAATTGAAATGAATTTTAAAACCCCGCAATATAACTGGCAATCCGGAAGAAGATTCCAGAAAGTTTGCATTTTCTGTTGAGGGACTAAACAACAGTATTTTCAAAGTAATGAATGAAATTGTTTTGTGTTTTTTATTTTTTTAAGAAAACTGGTACCAATTGGTTACCAGAAAATGGCATGATCTTCAAGAAAAGAAAAGCTTTCCTGGTGAATATTTCCTCTCTCCCCAACATCCTTGAGGTAAAGGGATTGAGAACTACATCTTTTAACTCAGAGAACTGTGCTTGCATGGAAGGTGTTAATAACAGAGGGTGTCACGGAATTGCTGTTTGGGGTTTGCTATTGTCGTACTCTGCTACTAGCAGACATTAAGGTAATGATAATAGACCTAGGAGAACTAAGCAATTCCTGCCTCCCATCTGCTGCCTGTCAGCCTCCCAAAGCCCCCACAGGTTAAATATGCCTCCTGAAATTAGAACATCTGGGAATAAATTACTTTTATGATGAAAATGCTCAAACATACAAAAAAACTGCAGCCATGAGTATAATGAGCAACCATGTGCCCATCACTTAGATTTAACAGTTGTTAACATTTTGCCCTGTTTCATCTTTTTCTGGCCGAATTTGTTATAAGTAAGTTATCATGACATCTCACACCAAAATACCTGAGCCGACATCATCACGGAGGATTCTCTCTGAAGTGTTGAAGGTTGTGTGTATCATCCACATTGCTGAAGGAAGGCTTCAAGGTGTTGTGCATATGAGCTCTGTTATTTCTCAACTGACTGAGTCCAGTTGTTCCCAAGCAGAAATTCATCAGGACATTTACCATCACTCATGAGGAGAAAGTGTTGGGTGGAACCAAAGACGGTCTTAGCTATATTTGAAACATTTCTGATTCTTCTGGAAACAGGAAAGCAAACAGCCCATGAACTAAATTCTCAAAAGACACTAAATTGGAAAGTGCTGTAAGCACTAATGATGCCAAAGAGAAAATGCAAAACACTTGGATGAGTTAGACATTCACCTGAAAGGCAGGGCGCGGTGGCTCACGCCTGTAATCCCAGCACTTTGGGAGGCCAAGGCAGGCGGATCACTTGAGGTCAGGAGTTCGAGACCAACCTGTCCCCAATACGGCGAAACTCCGTCTCTACTGAAAAAAACACAAAAAAATTAGCCAGGCGTGGTGGCGCGCGTCTGTAATCCCAGCTACTCAGGAGGCTGAGGCAGGAGAATCCCTTGAACCCGGGCGGCAGAGGTTGCAGTGAGCCGAGATCGTGCCACTGCACTCCAGCCTGAGAGCAAAACTTCGTCTCAAAAAAAAAAAAAAAAAAAAAAAAAAGAAAAAACAACTTCATGGAAAAAATAGGAAGCTAGACTCAGGGAGGGGGTAGGCTGCTGTGATGTTCAGATACCCCCCTCCACTAGGGCAGGACTGATCTGGAAGTGTGTCAACCCCCGAGAGAACATCTGGGAAGCCTGGTTGAAAAGCTTTGGCTCATTTACGTAGGGTGAGAGATAATTTTCAATAGGCAAAATGTATGGAAAGCAGGTATCATTCCACTTGCTCTGTGCTTAGCTGCTGGGATCAGGGTGGGCTGACTGCACATGTTCCGGACAAGATGGTGGGCAAGGTGGGTGGTGAGTTCGCTTGCAAAGGTCTATCAGCTCAGTGATTATGCCAAACAAAAGAAAAGCAGGCAAAAATGAGTGACAGCAGGTGCCAGAATATTCAGCCTGTCTCAGTCAATGAGCAAAATGAGTTTCCCATTTTAAGCACGCCCTAAGGGAGAAGCAACAACTAGAAACCAAGGTCCGATAGATTCCCAGCCTGTGCATGGTGGAGCTAAATGGGCACCTACCTGACTTCCTACACATCAAGAGGAAAGCTTTCTTATCCATACCCCAAGTGCACATCTGCCCGCCTTTGAATCATTAAACACCACCCCTCCCTTCGCCACCCCTTTCCTCACACCATGGAGTTCATAACACCAAACATCACCTTCTCTTCTCCTGATATTGACACCACGAGAAATGGAAGTCTATGTTGACTGGCACAGAGATGAAAATTGCCTCCATCACTCTGAGTATAGGAACATGTTTTCTTCCCAGATCGCCCCCTCTTTGGAAGAACACAGTCTCTTCTAAGCTCCCTCCTCCAGCCTAACCCCTGGCCCTGAAGCCCAGGATCTGCTGATCAAACACATGAGCTCACTGCAGCTTATATAAGAGCTCTTGGCAGGCGTTCCCAGAGACGGATGCTGGGCTAGGTCTCTGCACACTTGCGCTTGCCTTGCCTAGGCAACATGATTTTTTGTTTCTCTATCTCCTCAGAACAGAGAGGCCTATTTGTACTACTGTTCATCAGTCGTTTTGTAGTAGGGAAGAGGAAGCACAAAGTTTCTTCCTATTTCCCACTGATTAAAAGTGGCCCAGCTTCCTAAGGGGGAAAGTAAGAATTCCAAAGCCAAAGCTCACTTGAGTGTGCTGAGCCCCCTTCACTTGGCTGTTTTCTGTGATGGGGCCACACTGCTATGGGTCACCACAGGGGAGCAAGGATGGAAACAGAGTGGGAGCTGGGGGCCACACCTCTGTGACATTTCAGAGGACTCCAGCTCGAAGGTCCCTTCTGAGATGTTTGTGAGCAGGGACTAGGGCAGAGGGAGAGACAAAATATTAGGTTGGAGCAAAAGTAATTGCTGTTTTGCTTATATTTTTAATGGAAAAAACCGCAATTACCTTCGCACCAACCTAATCAATGAGAGTTCCCATCTTCCCCCAAAGGGGAAATAAAAGGACATTCAGGGAAATCTGTCAGGTAAGTCTCAAAGGTAAGTCATCTGCAAGAAATCCATCCTGCCTCCGACTGACTTGGTGAGAAGTCCCATCCATTCCCAGACTCCATTTTCTTAAAGGAGGAAAGAAACTTCTGGAGACTGTACTCAGGAACTCAGAGAAACAAGGAAAGAGAAAAAGCAAGGAAAAGCCATGCATGAGCCCAACTTCCAAATTCAGTGGATATTTTGCATGGCTCCCAAGAGGAGAAGGGACGGTTGTATGATAGGATTTGGTTCTCCTATTGCCACTGACGAAAGGCAAGGCAAGGCCAAGGCCAAGGCAAGGCAAGGCATGAGGCCCTTTGCAGTGTCCGGCTCCCTTCTGCCGCCTCAGTCACTCCAAGTCTGGGGCTCTGAGGCAGGGCCAGGGAAGGAAGACGCAGGCCTTAGCTATGCCCATTCTTATTCTCTTTCCTGAGCTTCGAAGCCGCGTCCTGAGGGCACTTCCTATCCACACATCCTCGGCCGGGAAAATGTGCTCTGCCTCCTCCGCTCAGCATTGGCCTTCTCCCACACGGCCAACTCCGGTGCCTCCCTTGATACCAACTGGCAATAGGGACGTAGGCAAGTCATATTACAGCTCACTTTCCCCACGTGTAAAATGGGGCTGGATAGGGTGATTCACACACTTACTAATGGATTCATCAGTAAATATTTTGTTTTTAAAGAATGTCTATCTGGGCTGGGTGCAGTGGCTCATGCCTGTAATCCTAGCACTTCGGGAGGCTGAGGTGAGAGGATCACCTGAGGTCAGGTGTTCAAGACCAGCCTGGCCAACATGGTGAAACCCCACCTCTACTAAAAATGCAAAAATTAGCTGGGTGTGGTGACACACACCTGTAATCCCAGCTATGATAGGCTGAGGCAGGAGAATGGAGTGAACCCGGGAGGTGGAGCTTGCAGTGAGCTGAGATCGTGCCACTGCACTCCAGCCTGGGTGACAGAGCGAGACTCCATCTCAAAAAAAAAAAAAGAATGTCGATTTGGGCTGGGCACAGTGGCTCATGCCTGTAATCCTAGCATTTTGGGAGGCTGAGGCAGGAGGATTACCTGAGGTCAGGAGTTCAAGACCAGCCTGGCCAACATAGTAAAATATCATCTCTACTAAAAATACAAAAATTAGCTGGGTGTGGTGATGTGTGCCTGTAATCCCAGCTACTCAGGAGGCTGAGGCAGGAGAATCGTCTGAGCCCAAGAGGCAGAGGTTGCAGTGAGCCAAGGTCTTGCCACTGCACTCAAGCCTGAGCAACAGAGAGAGACTCCATCTTAAAAAAAAAAAAAAAAAAAAAAATATCGATCTGTCAGGGACTGCACCCTAATCTCTTAATATGTCGCAATGCAGTTCTCTTAGTTTTTCTCCGTCTTTTCCCATCACATTCTGCTTTTCTCAACCTCTACCCACACCCAGAGCCTGCTTCTTCTGCTTTTTTCTTTTATTCTCATGATATTTTTCTTCACTCTCTGCACCCTCCCCCACCCCAGCATGGTTCTATTTTTAGAATGTTCATACATAAAATCAGAGGATTAGAAAAGGGTTTTAAGGGGCCATCTGCCCACTTTGTTACCTCCAGGCAAACCTGTGCTTAAAAGGCCCAGGAAAGATCAGAGGGCATATCCAAGCCCAATGTCAGGATGTACTCCAGCGTCTCACAACTTCTCCCATAAAAAAAAATGGCCTCAATGTCTAACTTAAACCTCTCCGTTCAATACTACTCTCCTTTTTCTCCTCACCTCTTGAGTCTCATCACAGACATAAAGCACCTTTGTGAGACAGAACTGTTGGGAAGTTTAACCCACAATGACATAGTGGAACATCCCAGGCCATAACGATCATAGTTTCAATGTAAAAACAGATTCAGGAACACAGAATGGGCTAGAGGCTATGGCAGTTAGGTGGATTGGGCTTCTGTAAAATCAACAAAGACAGAACAAATAAGCAAAAACCAACAAGCACAACCCTACTGGACTCACAGTTTCTAGCAAACTATCTCAATTAACATGAAAAGTCCACGAAGCAAGGAATTCTAAAATCATAGCCCCCTTAGGTTGGAAAGGCCCTTCATTAGATGTTATCAAGTCCAACTTTTTATGCAGAGTTGGCAGCCTGCATAGCACAAAGTCTATCTCTGTTGATTATAGTTGAATAACGAATGGCGGTCATTTGGTACTGGTTCTTCCATCAGCATATAAAAAATTTCTTCAAAGCAACTCTCCCAGGACCCTGGATAGGAGGCAAGGCAGGTGTTCACCTGGACAGGGCCTGCTGCTCCAGATGTTACCCTTTTTGGTCTGTGCTAACCTGCCGAGGTAGTCTACAGTCTTAATAGAGACAGTGTGGTCTAGTGTGTAGGTCACTCAACAAGAAGGCAGATTTCAAAACCTGCCGCATTTTCTTGCTTCCTCCTTCAGATGGCAAGAGGCAGACAACTCAACTAAAGAGAAGAGGATTCACAGCAAGTTGCTGACCCAGTTTACAGCACAGCTGTCCTCTTCCATAGAATGGGAAGAAGTTTTATGCTTTTATGCTTCTCTGTACCGTCGACCTCAAAGTTCGGTGGGTATCTCAGAGAAAGTGTTATTATTAGCAAGTAGTCATAATTCCAAGAAGTCACTTGCTAAGGGGTTTCTGATGGATTATTTTCTCTCTCTGTAGAAAACAAGTAAGAACCTTCTATCTTGGGGAAGTCTGGCAAATGCTCCATAGAGGCTGCTGTGGAAGGGAATCATTTCACATCCCATGTTAGGATAAGGCCTGAAACCCTGCCTGGGTAAATAAGAGCGGCACAGGGAGTGGGCTTCAGTCCTGTCTCATTTACATGGTCTTGGACACACATCCTATCGGTTTCTGGGACCTGTTTTTCTCCATCTGTCAAACAAGGTGGTGCTCTAAAGACCTTCCTGCTGTAGCGATCTTGCTTCACCTTGGGTAAATGCTGCAGCCATAAGAGAGGAGGTAGGGTCTTTGTCCTCATGGGTCTCCCACCAGGCCCAAGGCTTCTCCAAGCCTTGCTGAGCCAGGAGGGCAACTCCTAGCCCCTCTGCCAAGAATCTACTTTCCTTCCCTCAATGATTGATCCTGCTCAGAAATCAGCCAATTTTGGGGGTAGGAGGCGTCCAACATGAAAGAAACACTACAAAGAAACGCTTAGGTAAACTCTCCACCTCTACACACACCCATACACATACACTGACACAGATACATACATGAACCCTGAAATGTAAGTATTTTCCCTTCCATGTATCAAACCTCTTTTGCCCTCTTGAATTGCCAGTGTGCTGGGAGAGAATTCAGTCCCACCGTGGAAAAGCACTGCTTCCACTTACGGAACTCAGCTAAACTTCAGTGTTTAGGGATGACCCTGGGCACAGGTTGAAGCTAAAGGTCCTAACACACCTCAACTGCAGTGCAGAAATGCAGAGTTTACCAGCCATGACTGGGGCAGTAGCTAACTAGAAGCACAGGACCAGGATCCAGATCCTTTCTTCCTTGCTCTTCCACTTCCACTGCCTCCCCGACCCTAGATGTGTTATTCTGTAACACTGGTCGCCTGCTCGAGCCTGCTCATCTGCCTGCATAGAGTGCCGTGGACTTGCTCTGCAATGCACTGTATATTGTGTATGTTCTGACTCTGTGGTTTACTGCAAATAAAAATGACAGCAGGTGGCTGACCTCTGACCTCCTGGTCATTTCTTTTCATGCCATTGTTTATGAAATCAGGATTGGCTGTCCAGGCACAGAGCACTGGGGATGTGCGTGCTCCTCCAGACACTTCTGTGACCATTCCACAGGTGCACACTGCTAGAAAGGCACCACTAATGTGTCATGTCTAGGAGGGATTGAAATTCTTTGTTGTCCATTCCCTGGTGCTGAACGAAGGGGAGAGAGAGCCAAAAGCCCTATTTAATAAGCCCCAGCAAGTTGAACCATGAAAACACGTGGACACAGGGAGAGGAATATCACACAACGGGGCCTGTTGAGTCGTGGGGGGCAAGGAGAGGGAGAGCATTAGGACAAATACCTAATGCATGTGGGGCTTAAAACCTAGATGATGGGTTGATAGGTGCAGCAAACCACCATGGCACATGTGTACCTATATAACAAGCCTGCACCTTCTGCACATGTATCCCAGAACTTAAAGTAAAATAAAATTTGTAAAAAGCCCCAGCTAAACACTGTATGTACATCTTCACACCGACATCTCCCCTGAGACGTGGCCAGCATTTATACATGATGAAAACAGGAGGCTCAAAAATGGTGATTAACTTGCTCAACACATAACACAATAAGTAACCCAGTTCTGTCTCAGACCCCAAAATTCATGTTCTTTCCTCTAATGTTTCTCTAAGTATGGCCCAGGGACTGCTTACATCAGAAACACCTGGGTTCTAGATTCCCGGGGCCCACCTGGATCTCCCTCATCACGATCTCTGAGAATGGACCTCTGACATCTGATATTTTAAAAGCTGGGGCTGTCTCATTCCCACAGAAGTTTGAGAACCATTGCATCACTCCATTCAGGGAAAGCAGGACTACTTTGGAAGGACAGAGACAAGTCAGGGTTTTAAAATGACTTGGTACGAAGTCCCTTCCATTCCCAGACTCCATTTTCCCAGACTTCTATAAGCTCAGAAACCAGAGTTTATAGAAGAGCACCCCTAGACGTAAGAGACTGGTGAGGAAGCAGGTCTGGAATAAAAGAACAAGTGGGGGCCAGGCATGGTGGCTCGCGCCTGTAATCCCAGCATTTTGGGAGGCTGAGGCGGGTGGATCACCTGAGGTCAGGAGTTTGACACCAGCCTGGCAAACATGATGAAACTCCATCTCTACTAAAAATACAAAAATTAGCCAGGCATGGTGGTGGGCACCTGTAATTCCAGCTGCTCAGGAGGCTGAGGCAAGAGAATCACTTAAACCCTGGAGGTGGAGGTTGCAATGAGCCAAGATCGTGCCACTGCACTCTAGCCTGGGTGACAGAGCAAGACTCTGTCTCAAAAAAAAAAAAAAAAAAAAAAAGAATGAGTGGGGAGTAAGGCTGTGGGCTTCAATCAGAGTTGGCTGGTCTCTCTGTCCAGAATGCAGATCCAAGAGCAAATCCACCTGGTGGTCTCCAGGCTGAGGCTGTCCTGAGCCCAGGGTTCAAGGGCACACTGAAGTGGAGCTAAGGCAACAGGATGTGGGTTCAACACAGCAGCCTCAGAGACTGGGTCTGCAATAGGGTAGCAGTCTCAGAGGATGACCATGGACACTGCAGCTCCTACAGATTGCTGCTGCCTCTTCAGCACCCCACCACCCTGCCCAGCCTGGCCCAACTGGCCAGTCTCCCGCATTTGAAGAACCATTACTGTTGTCTCTCCAGGCTCTTCCTGCCACAGTGGACCAACAAGGCTCCCAAAGTATTGGAACTCGCGTCCTGATCCACAATTTTCTCTATGTCTCTGCTGTCATTCTCGGGGCTGGGCAAACACTCTGACCTCAGGGAACCTGACCAAAATGTTCCTAACCATGCCCTCCTCCTTCCACCTGGATCTGCTGAGTTCTATTTTGTGCCTTAGAGTCTAGGTGGAGGTTTCTGAAATGACGGTTGGGATGTCTGAGGTGGAGCACTGTGAGACAGATGCATAATTGCTACTTGGGGGCAGAACAAAATCCTGGAAATAGCTCAGCTGCCCACTCAACTGTAGAGATTCAGCTAGCCTCTTACTCTCCCAGCTGCAACACTAACTATGCGTGAAAAAATATTTTCAAGAAAATGGCTTTTCTGAAGTCGAGAAATCATGAAAACACCTCCTGTACAGAATTTGATATAACCAAATCAGCAAAGCACTTAAATTATGAGTCTGCAAAGCAGTTTATGATCTAGAATTCTTATAGTGAGAATTTTCTTGAATCTCTGCAGCTAACAAAAGAATTGTATAAACAAGGAGAATGCTGGTCCATTCAAGAACAAAGGCTTTAGCAGTTGTGCTTGCATTTTAAACAATAGCTAAGAATAAGGGATGCCTATTCGTTTGCTGTAGTATTTACAAGACTCCCAAACACACACCACCATGTTTCTGCTTCTACCCCCACTTAACAGGTTACTGTGTGTCCATCAAAGTAACAACACTGCCTTTGTTCTTAAATGTTCCTCCTTCCTACTTTCCGTTACACTGGACTATCAACGATTACAGAAATATTTCTGAATCTAAAACCCTAAAACATTCTCAGAAGGAGCAGACAGTCAACAAAGACATCAAAAACGGTGAGGGAAGCAGATCAGCAAGAAAGATCTGAGAGAGCAGAAGGAGATAATCGTGGTCTCAGAATTGGAGGGATCACAGAGAATACTTGGTTCAACCTCTCAGCCAGAGCAGGACTTCTCTTCACAGCACCCTGTCCCCATAAACAGCCCCCTTTGCTTGAAGACTTCCACTTATGGACAGCTCACTACTTTCCCAGGAAGTTCATCTGGGAACAACTTTCTGAGTTTTAGATAGGCTCCAATGGCACCCAGATCTGCCTCCTATTAACTCCCATCATTGGGCCCTGGCTTGGCCACTAGCAACACAGAATGAATCTTTCCTCTCTTCCGTAGGAAACTTGCAGATACTTGGAAAGACCTACCTCATTCTAGCTAAGTCTTTATTTTTTTTTCCTCCAGACTAAACATCCTCCAGATCCTTAAATCATCCCTTATATGTCATAACTCTCAAACCCTAAGCTATTCTTGCGATTTTCTCTGGAACAACAACAGTTTGCCAAAGTCCCTTTTAAAAGGCAATTCCCGGAACTGAACACAGCACAGTGTCCCAGAAACGGATGGTCAAGTGGAGAGTCGCATCCCTTACTCTCGATACCACATTAGCTTTCTTTGGCAACCATATCACTCTGCTATTTCATCCTGCTGTCACAGCCAACAAAATCTCCTAGCATCGTTTGAATGATAATAACCACCACTCGTATGACGTCTCAGAGATGACAAAACCTTTTCAGAAACATGCTCCTATTTGCCCCTCATGACAACCCAGTGAAGTTGATTAAACAGAAGGAAACTATGGTTTTCCAAGGCCTCATGGCCAGCCCTCAAGCCCTGAGCCTGTGATTCCAAATCTACGCTCCTCCAAACACACCCAGGCTGCCTTTTCACCTGAACAATGATTATTTATTTATTTATTGAGACTTTTGCTTTTGTTGCCCAGGCTAGAGTGCAATGACATGCTCTCAGCTCACTGAAACATCCACCTTCTGGGTTCAGGCAATTCTCCTGCTTCAGCCTCCTTAGTAGCTGGTATTACAGGCACCGGCCACCACACCCAGCTGATTTTTTGTATTTTTAGTATAGACAGGGTTTCACCATGTTGGCCAGGCTGGTCTCGAACTCCTGACCTCAGGTGATCCACCTGCCTCAACCTCCCAAAGTGTTGGGATTACAGGCATGAGCCACCACGCCCAGCCCTGAACCACTGTTAAGGCCACCGAAAATCTCCCTGGCTTCATTTGTTGGTGTCCTTTTTTTTTTTTTTTTTTGAGATGGAGTCTTGCTCTATTGCCAGGCTGGAGTGCAGTGGAGCGATTTCGGCTCACTGCAACCTCTGACTCCCTGGTTTAAGCTATTCTCTTGCCTTAGCCTCCCAAGTAGTGGAACTACAGACATGTGCCACCATACCATACCCAGCTAATTTTTGTACTTTTAGTAGAGACAGGTTTCACCACGGCCAAGATGGTCTTGATCTCCTGATTTCGTGATCTACCCGCCTCGGCCTCCCAAAGTGCTGGGATTACAGGCGTGAGCCACCGCGCCCGGCGCCTATCTCTTTTTGACACCTGTTTCTGTTGCCTGTTATATTAAAGACACTGGGTCAGAGAGAGAGAAGGCAGCAGAAGAGGATAGGGACAAACAGGAGGAGACTTTGGGAGGTAGGAGCAGAAAACGGAGCATCTCAGAATAGAACAGGCAGTGCGGAATGATGGCTGCATGTGGAAGCAGGGGATGGAAAGACTGTGTTCCAGTCGCTGAGCACCTTGGTTGGCTCTGTTACCCTAGGCAAGCCCCTTAGCCTCTCTGAGCTTCACTTTCTGAGAAGGAGGGTCAGAAGTGGGACTAGTCAATTCCCAAGACCCTTCCCAGTTCTATGAATCTAATGGGCAGATAAGGCCTTATCATTAACCTAATGTGCCTTGTCTTTTTCAATCCAACAAAGATATTGAAAATCAGACTCTCCTGAAATATTTAACATGACTTCCTTTTGCTAAAATAAAGAAAAGCAAAGATACCTAGGGGCCATGGCAACAAGCAACATTTATTTCATCTGACTGTCAGTCATGGGTTTTTCGGGGGGGCATGGGGGAGATGGGTTACGACAGCTACTTCTCAAGATACAGGACCCAGAGGAATCCTCGAGGGGACTGAACAAGCTCTAAAGCTCTGCAGCCATGTCACCTGATACCTTCTCCAAGTACCAGAGGACTGAGCGTTCCACAATAAACAACAGCCTCTTAAACCATGTGTGGAGGGACAGAAGCTCCTACTCGTTAAGCATCTCTTGTGTGCCTTCCTGGGGAGGTCACAGGATAAATGTTCTTTGATTGTTGCATTAAGATAGGAAATATCTGCATGCCTTTATTCTTCCACAGCAGCGCTGTCCCTTAGAAATACAATGTGAGCCACGTATGTAAGTTTAAATTTTGT